ATAGCCCCAAACACTCATTTGTTCAAATGTGTGGTCCCTGGTTAGTGGAACTGTTTTTGTTAGGATTAAGAGGTATGGCCTTGCCGGGTGTTGGTGGTGCATGCCTTTAATCTCAGCATTCGGGAGGCAGAGGCAGGCAGATCTCTGTGAGTTCGAGACCAGCCTGGTCTACTAAAGCTAGTTCCAGGACAGGCTCCAAAGCCACAGAGAAACCCTGTCTCAAAAAACAAATAAAAAAGAGGTGTGGCTTGTTAGAATGGGTATGCCCTTGTTGAAGGAAGTGTGTTACTGGGTGGTGGGCTTTGAGGTTTCAAAATCCACAGCGGGCCCAGTCTCTTTTCTCTGAATACAACTTGTAGATCAGATGTGAGCTCTCAGCTACTGCTTCAGGGTCACACCTGCCTGCCACCATGTTCCCTGTCATGATGGTCACAGACTCACCCTCTAAAAACTGTAAGCAACTAATGCTTTCTTTTAAAACTTGCCTTGGGTGGTCTCAGTCCATCTAATAATTAAGTACCTTGCCATCTGCCTCTGGTTCCCTACATGAAGGATTCATACTCAAAATGGGAGCAAGCGGGCACAACCATGGGAAGACCCATGTGAGGAAGGACTCTAAGGTTACAGATAAGCTGCTGGCCTGATCTGTGGGCCTTTGTTTTTTGCCTACCCAGTGTTTCAGGGAGCCCATCAGAGATGACCACTCAGACATAATTTATAGCCAACTGAACATCTTTATTCTAGGTTACTGGGAGTCCACTTAGGCATTCTGTATCCAAGGGTAGCTCCAAGTATTTAGAGTAAGGTTTTTTGTTGTTATTGTTTTGTTTTGCAAAACCCACATCCTGGTATCTTGCTCTGCAGCTGCAGGAGAAGGTTTTGCCCAAGCAAACAGTTTAACAGAAGCTAGGATAAGTGGTTAGCTGGAGGGGGAGGTTAGCACAAGCAGTAGTTTAACTGGGCCTAACATAAGTTAGCTAGGTTATCTTGACCTCGGGTTCCTAGAAGAGAGTTGGGTAATTTTTCACAGAATCTTCCACTAAGGAGAGCAAATTCTAGTTAAACTTGAAACGCCCTCAGCAAGAATACAAGATGGAAGAACCTCTGGACTGTCTTCCCTGTCCCACCAGCATCCATGTTCTAGTTTCCCTGGAAACCAGGCTCTTTTCTGACTCCTAGTCTATGTGCTTGGGTGTCTCCGATCCATTCCACTGCTTAAGAGGTGGCCAGATGACCATTCTAAACATTCTATCCAGGTGGTCACACTTAGCAGGTGATATCTAGGATAGATATGTATCCCAAATGGGCTCCAGGGAGGAGACACAAAATTAGGGACAAGATACACACTGCAAGTTGTGTGTAAGTCTGTTCTTCCACCATTAAGCTTATAGATAATCTGATAAGCCTATAATCTTGGGTTGGAGACAGAGAGAAAGAGGGATGGAGGGAGAGAGAGAGGGAGGTAGGGATGGAGGAAGGGAAAGACTGAGACTTTTACTAATTTCTGATGTCACCATTTGAACACCTGGATCCAGCTATGTCTGATGCCAGATCCTCTAGAATGTTTTGTCAAGTCTCTTGTGCTTTAGACAGTTTGAATGAAAGGTTCTGTCAGTCTCCTAAGCAGGCTGGAAACTCCCTGAGAGCATTTTCAGAAGAGGAGCCTGTGGCTTTTCCCCATATTTTATTTTACCTATTTTCATATTTAATGTTCAAGTAAAGGGCCATCACAGTCACTCAGAGGAATCCCAGGCCCAGTGAGTCACACTCTGAGGCAGTCAGGCTCCCCCAGGGGACATCAATGAACACTGCATTCTCCTGAAAGCAATCAGAACCTCTCATAGAAGCCTTTGAAGAGTCTTCCCAGCCCAGAGCCCTCCCAGGTCTTTCCAGCTTCTCCTCTGGGGAACTGAAAAGGAGAGAGGCACTTGCCTACACTGTACAGAGTTTGAGTCTCAGTCTGCACCCACCCATGGAGTGCAGTGGACTTCGACGCTGGAGGGGCAGCTGGAGACAGTATGCCAAAGGCGTGGCAAGGGCTGTGGGATACAGTCACTGGTCACTCCAGGCCCCGTTTGAGGCTCTTATTTCCCAACTCTTCTCACAATTATCTAAGGGCTATATCCCTTAGTAAACCTCTTACTCCATGGTATTCATAGCAGTTTCTCACCCCAGACTGATTTGATTGACAGAGGAGGGGAAGGAGGAAGTGGGTGGCGAGTGAGCCAGAAAATATGGCATGCCTACCACCGCTGAACCTTGGATGAAGCATAGCTAGGAATCCAGTCTAGCTATGCTTGCAACATCTCTGCCAAGGTCACATTTTTCTAAATACAATTAAAAAGTGAAAAGTCTGAAGAATGTACCAAGTCAATGCCTTGAACTCACAGAGATCCACCTGCCTGTCTCCTGAGTGCTGGGATTAAAGGTGTGTGCCTGGAAATGTGCTTCTAGTCACCCTCCAGCTTAGATCTGTATTTGGCTGACACATTGAGAGTGCCTTCACTTCATGGCTCAATGTCACTTCCTGCTGCTTTACTTGTGTGAGAAAAGCCCAGCTTCACTGCAGTAGGCTCTGAGCCCAAATCTCTCTTGGTCTGGGGCAGAATTAGTTTGTGTCCTTGTTTTGTTTCAAGAGAACAGACTATTGTATGTTCCCCTCCCTAAGAAAGGAAAGTCTGCAGTGTGTGTGGTGGTTTGAAAAGGGAACTATCAGGGCTGGAGAGATGGCTCAGTGGTTATGAGTATTAGCTGCTCTTCCACAGGTCCTGAGTTCAATTCCCAGAAACCACGTGGTAGCTCACAAACATCTCTAATGAGATCTGGTGCCCTCTTCTTGTGTGCAGGTGTACATGCAGACAGACCACTCATAATAAATGAGTAAATAAATAAATGCCCAAATTTAAAAAAAGAAAAGAGAACGATCTCCCAGAGTCTCGGGCATTTGAACCTTTGGCTCCCAGCTGGTAGCCCTGCTTGGGGAAGTTCAGGCGGTACAAACTTGCTGGAGAAAAGTACACCACTGGAGGGTGGGTTTGGGAGTAAACAGCCTTACCTACTTACAGTTTGTTATCTCTACTTTGTGCTTGTGTTCAAAATGTTAGCCCTTGGCTTCCTCCTCCTGCCTCCATACCTGCCGCTTACCTGCCATGCTGGATTCTTATTCTGCTGGAACCGTGAGCCCAAATAACCCCTTTCTTCTGCAAGCTGTCTTGGTCATGGTATTTTGCCACAGCAACAGAAAAGTAACTAATACAGTGAATACCATAGAACCTTTATTATTTTTTCCTCTAAATTCTTAGAAACTTACATATCGCCCGTGCTCTAGTTGTGATATCATTTATAGACATTTAAAACACATCTTCATGTATAAATATTTTACATTTGGTCCATAGAACAGATAATTTTACTAAATAATACTGTAAATTTTTTAAAACAGGCTCTGTATATAGTCTGAATAGTCATATATTACATATACTTTTTATATAGAGATAAATTTACTTGGTGTTCTGAGAATAAATCCTTATTGCAAAAAAAAAGCATATATGATAATACAATTATCTTTTTCCCTCTGGGCAAAAACTAAAAAAGAAAAGTTACACATATTCACAGTTCTCACAGTAATTGTACGACCCTTAATGTTGTGCTATATAAGGTAAGTTTGGGTGGAAATCGAGGGATTTCTTGCCAAACATCTCAGAGGTGCTTGCAAACATGAAATATACTGCATTTATCTCAGAAAGACTCATTCTGAGTTTCACATCTAAGAACAGCGAGCAGCAAGAAGGAAATCTTCTGCCCTCATCCTAAAGGGCTTCATACACAGGTGGGGAAGGGACACAGTGGAGGGTCCTTGCATTCCACATCCGGGACTCTGATGACAGGCACCTGTGCAAGCTGGTCACAGAGTCTCCACCAAGCAGGCAGATTTCCTCAACCACATGACCCCTTTACAGGTGGCCTCAAGAAGAGCTGGTAGATTGCCTACACACTATCACACGGGATGCTAAATGCCACATGTGAGGATGGGTGTGCATGTGTGTGCATTTCTATGTGCATACGTGTTTGCATTCTCTACAGTGTGCTTAATGCTCTGAGGGAGATAGCTTATTGCAAGAACTGGTGTGCTGGTCACTTTTGGATGAGAATGACAAGAGATTCAAAAAAATACCCACGGTCACAGTTATTCACCATAGTTATTAAGGATTAGTCATATACGAGCTATCAAGCTAAGGAGCTACTGGACAAGACGTACGCTTTGCTACATGGGAGCCCATCCTCTCAGCAGAGGAGAGAGGCTGAGCTACTGGAACTTTCCAGAAATTGTCTCCACTGGCTTCACCTACACAGAGCCCAAGGCCAGAGGGGGCATGTGACATTTCCCTCTGGAGCAGGTTAGCAAGGGAAGCCCAGTGTCAGGGTAGGGTGGGCAGGGCCTCTGGTTAACCCTTCTCCATTAGCGGCTGTATATATTTGAGGGGTTTTCAGAAAGGTGAGGAGGGACAGCAGAACAGAGTGGCAGTGACAGTCTAAGAGGGAAGCCAGGGCCAGCTGGATCGGTCCTGATTTACACAGAACCCTCACCTTGGTTTCCTTGGTCTTGGTCATTGTTTGTGCAAAACTGGGCAGCTCAGAGGGACCATAGCTCCCACTAGGGGAAAGTCCTGGAATGGTGACCAAATAAAAGGCAATTGTGCTTGCGGCTTTTTCTTTTCCTTCCTTCCTTCCGTTTTTTTTTTTTTTTTTTTTTTTTTTTTTTTATTCTCCTCAGCACACTCAGCCCTTCTGGAGAGGCTGCTGCTATTAGGGTCACCTAGGGAGGTGGTACAGGGGGCACTGAGCTGCCCGGGTCACAGGGTCACAGGGACAGAGACCCTCTCCGCACTGCTCTGTGAACAGCCACAGAGGTGTCTGGGGGTGGTCTGTGAAGCTGCCTCAGGAAGGAGAAATTGGGAAGGAAAGAGACTGGCCTGGCTCCCAATGGCCACAAACAAAAAGCCGTAGCCCTGGTCCATGATCAGTTAAGAGCCAAGTGGACAGGAAAGTCTGCATAACAGTCTTCAGTTGGGGCACAGGGCAACAGTCTGAATATGACTAAAAGCCAGGAGTGTGTGGCCTCAGCTGTCACCCTCTCTGGCAGCATTAAAATGAGCTACAGTGGCAGCTACAAAGGCCACCACCTGCTCCCGCTGTGGGGCCTGAAGGAAAAGTCACCAGGCCTCTGCGAAAGCCCCCAGGGGTGGCTGCCCATGTAGGGTCCACCCAGGGGCAGACTGTCCCCCACCTCCCCTCTCTGCATGGTGATGGTGTCTGGACCCGCCCCTTGAGGTAGGTGGAGACAAAGAGCATCTTCAGTCTTCAAGGGGTGTGTGGGTACAGTCAGGCCAGGGTGCCAGTGTTGGGTGGTGAGGGGACTGCACCCCTAGATGTAGGCCTCCTTGCTGGCTGAGCTGCCAGCCTGCGGCTGCTCAGGACCATTCTCAGGGCGTGCGATATCTTCACTGGGCTGAATCATGACCTGGAGGCGCTGTGGGCAGGGGGGGATGGTGAGGCTCCCTGCAGTGGGGACCAGCCCTTCCCATCCCTCTCCCTCCACCACACCCAGCTCTAGTCCCCTCCCTAAAGAGCCCAGTGCCTCACAGGGTGGAGGCTACCTGGCCAGAGTACCCTGTTCTCATCTGCATGACCGGAGGCTCCTGACTGGTCCTCTCTTGATCTCGCCTCCATTGCAGAGTGGCAGCAAGCCGGTCAGAATGGCCCCCTCCATGTTTCAGGACCCAGTAGACGCCCGTTTCACCCAGTGTAAAAGCTATTTCTCACACTCCAGTGTCTCCCCCCTCGTCACTTAGCCACCTCGGCCACACTGCCCTCTGCTCTTCAGATACTGAAGCCATGCTTGTTCCTCTGCCTGCCACACCCTCCCTTGCAGAGTCTCACACAGCCTACTCTGACCCCCACCTGCTTCCTCCTTCTGCCCTCCAGCCACTCTGACCTCCCTCCTGCTTACCATGCATGGCATTTTGACCCCTTGACCTTTGTACAAGCTTCCCATCCTACCCTCCTCCTAAGAACACTCTTTCTGCTTCTAGCACTTAGTCTAGCTTATCTTCAGACTTCAGAGACCACCCTAACCCTCTTCCACCCAGGCAGGAGGTCCCCAGTGCCTCAGAGGTGTACTCTGTCACTCTACATGGTGCTGGCTTGCTGACTCCGACCTTCCCAACTAGACCCTGAGAGCCCCCGAGTTGCAGAAGAGCTTACCTGCTTCAGAGAGCCCTTTAGGGTGAGGAACATGTAAGCCATGTACCCGGGGATGAGCACCATGGAGGACAGGGCCATGAGCCAGCCCACGCCCTGGCCCCACTTGGGGAAAACGTAGCTTCCCATGGTAAGGGGTGTCATCTGCACAGCGCTGAAGAGAAATACGCCCTATGGATGGGGAAGGGCATAGTCAGTCCTGGGTGCTGGACCAAGCAAGGTCCTACCTCCACTTCAGCTATCCTGCCGCTGTGCAAGTGGGCGGTAAAGCAGAACCCCATTTCTGGAAAAGGCCTAGGGAGGGGGCTCCTGCCTGCCGACTAGCCAGTATAGTGCACTGGATGGCCTCTCCAGACCACCATGATCTCATACAGGGCACAATATAGGCAACAATCTAGTCCCCATCTCAAGGACCTGAGCTGACCCTGCCATGGTTCTCAGGACCTCAGCGGCCCTCGTGGAGAGGATGAGACTTGCTGAGGAAGAGAAGCTTCTGCCTGTCAGGAGCCTGGGCTTCTTCCTGGGTTAAGCTGATCTGGGTGACACAGATGTCCCACAAACAGAAGGGGGAAGTGTTACTTGAGCGGAGCAGGAGAAGGAGACTTGGAGAGCTTTATCTTGCCTTTACTTCCACAAGTTTCTTCAGGGACCCCAGTCAGCCCCAACCCAGTAGGCTAGCTTTATCCCAGTGGGCTAGCCTCATCTAAGTGGCTGGTCAAGTCCCATCCTTACCGCCACAATGATGGGTGTGAAAAAGGACCAGCACAGCTTCCACCAGATGCAAGGTCTGGAGCCAACCATCTCCTGGATGTTGTCGTAGAACCGGTTGACACCTGTGACATGGGCATAAAAGCAGAGGACCAGAGAGTTTCCAGGTCAGTGGTCTAGGACCCAATTCTACCACTTTCTCCGTGTGTGGCCATGAGCAAGTCCCCTCACTTCTACGAACCCCAGTGTCCTTGTTTCTTATATGGGATATGTGCTTTGGCTTTACTCAGTGCCTATAGCCCTATAGCACCAGAACATGTAAGTATTTAGACACAACTGCCGCTCCCACAGATACTAGTCACAGCCATACCTTCAGTGGCTGTGTCGGGAGTGGGGGGGGCACCTTTCGCCATGGTGGTCTTACTGTGAGAAACTGATCGTGTGTGAAAGAAACCCTGAAGCAGCCCTCACTGCTCACTGTGGGCCACAGGGCAAGGAAGCCCGTGGGGTGGAGGTGGGAGGGTTAGGCAGTGCTGGGAGGAGGGTGGGGGGTGGAGGATGGAGGGGAGCATAGAGCACAGTGCTAGGCTCCTTCTGAAGGTGCACATCCTGCTGAGGTAGCTGCTATTTGGGAAGGACATTCTTAGGTCTTTGGACTCCCAGGCTCCCAGGCGGTCATTTGGGAAACCTTGACCCCACAAGAAACAACTAAATTAGGCTCCTCCTTTGTGATTTGTTCTAAAATAGTTCACACCTGTAATCATATACGATTTACAGACATTAAGCACATGCCTGTAAAAAGTTGTAAAGTTTTACAGATAACACTTCTTTTTCTTTTTCACATTTATTTAATTTGTGTGTGGGGAGGCACATGTGGGAGTCAGAGGACAACTTGGGGGAGCTTATGTCACCCCACAGGTGGGCTCAGGCGCTTGAACTCAGGTTGCCAGACTTGGTGGCAAGCGTTTTGAGCCATCTCGCCAGCCCCCTAACAAGAATTCAAGCCAATGTTTTTAAATCCTTAAATTTATGAAGTCATGATGGATTGCATTTTATTTTTTAAGATTTATTTATTTTTATTTTATGTGTATGAGTGTTTGTCTACATGTTCATGCAGTGTTCACAGAGGTCAGAAGAAGGAATTGGGTTCCTAGTACAGGAGATTCTGAGTATCCATGGGATGTGCTGGGTACTGAACCCAGGTCCTCTGAAAGGGCAGCAAGTGCTCTTAACCTCTAAGCCATCTCTACAGCCCCTGGCTTGCATTTAAAATGAGTAGATGAGACTGTCCCAGTCACACTGTCTTAAAAGGGTAGCTAGCACGTACATCAACGTAGCTTGTGGAAATGTTAAAAGGGTGAAATACAGGTTTAGTAGTCAGAGACCATTAGTGAACAAGGATGGGTGGTTGGATGGATGGGTGGATGGATAAATTAAGGAAGAGGGCTGGTTCTCACCATAAAACCAGGAAATGGAGACACACTCAAAGAAAACCAGGAACAGCAGGCTCATGCCACTGGCAGAGTAATAATCAAAAAGTTTGAAGACATAAATGCCCCCCTGAAAGAGACAAAGGGATAAAGTGCAGACATGGCTCCATCCCCTCATATGCTCCCCTAGTCCCAAGGGCCCAGAGAGCCAGGGAGTAGGCACACTGCAGCGGGAAAGCTTTGAGTCTCTGGCTGCTCACTGGGTGGTGGGGAAATGCTTCATTTCCAGGGGCTTTCAGTAGGCCTGGAAAGCAGTCCAGTCATCACCAGCATGTATCAGTGATTCTTCTTTCCTGCTTAAACCCTCTCCTAACTCACACAAAACAATAGGTAGAGCTCTTTTAAGTGAAATCTAACCACAAAGCCTGCAAGGTCTGGTTTGACAACCCCATCCACCCTCCCACTCTCTGCCTCCATCCACCACAGTGGCCTCCTCCCCTCCCTCTAGCTCTCCAGATGCATTCCTGCTACCGAGCCATTGTGCCTGCTTCCCTAAGATTCCCCACCCCCACCCCAGCACTGGCCCAGCTTCACCTCATAAGTCTCAGCTCAATGGTCATATGCTTAGAGGGGCCTCTCCTATCTACCTTATCTGAGGTAGAGCCCCCACCCCAACCCTGCAGGTCACTCTTGATCCTACTATCCATTTCTCTCCTGGCACTTCTCTCAGAAAAAGACAGTATGTCTGTTACTTTCCACCCATTAAACACAACCCCCTAGAAAACCAACATGACAGTGCCCATCATGATAACTGCTGAATCCCAGGGACAAGCTATCCCACAGCAGGTGTGCTGGTCATTTCTCCCTGAGATAACCAGAATGGACTTGGCACGTGTCCCTGTCAAAGGCCCCACTCCCAATTCTGACTCATTTCTGTGAACATTTGCAATCCCCCTCATCCTCCATTTCCCCGACCCCCTCCTTTTGCTCATACCCTCAGTCACCTCATCCTCTCCACCTTCTCGGTTCCCCAACCCCACATCACCCCATCCCCATATCACCCCATCCCCACACCACCCCATCCTTATATCACCCCTTTCTCTTCCTCCAGGAAGCAGGTGGTGGTTATGGCTAGGATGGGTGCAACATTTCCTAAATTTATCCCGCACTTTCTAGTGCAAATTTAGCCTCTCTCATCAGTCTGGGACTCCATGAATCTCACAGTGCTAGGCATAGGGGATGGTGCTCAGTGCAGAGAAAGATAGTAGCATAGGAGGCCCAAGGGCTGGAGCGCTTTGGGTCTTGGACGTGAACATGTTTCCTGGTGTAAAAAGATGTGCCAAGCCCTGGGGGAAATTCTGAGGCATGCCGGATGCTGGTCAGCCTACCTGAGTGATGTTAGAGAGGCCAATTAGGTAGGACACGATGCACACAGCAGCAATGAAGAGTTCTCGGCGATTGCGGAGGAGCCTGGGGTACTCATCCACCAGGGCAGTGATGAAGCCCTCCACAGTACAGAACTTGTTGGGAGAAGGATGGGGTCAACCACTTGCTGCAGCCAGCCTCCACCCACCCACTCAAATCCAGGAAGCCTATACCCAGACAGCAGGGATGGTCTGGGTTCAGGCCTTCGGGGCACTAGGGGGGCTAACCAAGACCAAGCTGGCTCCCATGGGGGTCCTCATGGTACTTTGGGGGACTCACCTGGCTGTCGATGCCCAGCATCAGCAGCATGGAGAAAAAGAGGATAGCCCAGAGAGGAGAGATGGGCAGCTGTGTCACAGCCTCAGGGTATGCCAAAAATGCCAACCCAGGGCCTGGTGGGGAGGGCAAAACAGAGGAAAGAGAGAGACTGAGTGCCACCGGCACACCCAGCACACCTGACACAACCTGGCACACACACCCGGCACACCAACACACCCCACACACGGCACATTTTGACTTCAGCTCATCCTTAGGGTAACCTTGTGTGTACACTGTCATCTCTTAGGAAGCAGTGAGAGTCAGCACTGAGAGGGAAGACTGATAGGTGGACCAGACCCTCCATTGAGAGACCATGGGACCTGGCCAATGGCAGGAACAGTGCAGGTGTGGAGAGGCTGGATGGAGATACAAGAAGGAGGCAGACACTGGAACTGATGTATTTGTGAAGGATGGGGGCAGGTGGGAGGAGGCTGAGGCTGGCCTAGGGCAGCAGAACCCTCCATGAGGTGGGAAGTTACAGATGTGAGATGTCTGTCTGGGCCTGGGGCAGTGTGGGTCTGGAGACCCCAGAGGGGATGGCTGAGTTCAGGAGAAACCCCTGTGAGGATACTGTGCTCTTCCAGGGTGTGGCTCTGGAGCGGGGATGGGGGATGAGGGGAGGGGTGGAAGTGACAAGCTGAAGAGTTCCAGGAGAGTGAGCTTGGAGGAGGGGGTTCACCTGTGAGTGAGACAAGAACCTCAGCAGAGAGCATCACCAACCCAATTCCCCAAGGGGCAAGTCACATCACCTTCCTGAACCTCAGGGGTCCCTTCCAGGGACACAGTCCCTCTGCTTGCCTTGGCCAAAAGAGAAAATGTCAGGCATTAAGGGTCTTCCTGGCTTTGGCACTGGTGACCATGGGAGCAGAGTGGGCACAACCTACAGAGTAGCAATGTTTTTAGAGTTATGGCAAAAGTCTAGTCTGAAGCGCTTTGTATCATGGAGGTGACCATGTTCCAGCTGGACCCACACACATCCTCATGACAACACATACCATCATGGCAAGCCCTGCCTTCCCCAGGTAAAGTGCTAACCTGAGGCTGCCACATCGGCGATGGATCTCTTGGTGACATGAGCCATGAAGCCCACAATGGAGAAGATGACGAAGCCAGCAAACATGCTGGTGCAGGAGTTGATGCAGCAAACGATGATGGAGTCCCTGAAGAGCAAGAGGGCCTGTGAGATGGGGGTAAGGGTGACTAGAGGCTAGTGGGGTCAGAGCGCAGTGACTTCCAAGGGAAGGGAAGAAGGTTCTAGAAGAGGAACTACGGGGTCTTGTGGCTCTAGAAGAGCAATTCCAGAGTAAAACAGGTAGGATAGAGCAGGAAGAAAGGGGTTGCCTAAGAGGATAAAGAGGGATATGTAAATAGCCAGGGTAGGTGTGGCACAGAAGGCGTGGCCTCGGAGCTTGGGATCCACAAGGAATGTAGTCTTAGATGAAAGCATGGTCTCCAGTGTGTGACAATAGGAGAGTGTCCCAAGACAGGAGGCAGAGAGATTGGCATGCATTCCTGGGGCATGGCCTCAAGGTGCCTCTCCCAGGAGGGCGTGGTCAGGAAGAAAGCCTCAGGACCCGCCCCCCTCACACCTGTACACATTGTTGTGGAAAGAGTTGTAGCTTCCAAGAGCGATCAGGGACCCCAGGCCCAGCCCATAGGAGAAGAAGATCTGGGTGGCTGCGTCGAGCCACACCTGTGGGCAGAGGATCAGAATCTCAGAATCAATTAAGTACAGAATCATCGCAGCTTGCCTGTCCAGGAATCCTCAGCTCTACCTGACATACTTGGTACTTAGTGGCCGCAGTATGCCCTGAGGACCCGGTGGGGTGTGCCAGGGCGGGATGCTCACCTCAGAATCTGACAGCTTGCGGAAATTGGGAGTGATGTAGAAGAGGATCCCCTCCTTGGCCCCAGGCAGTGTCACTCCACGGAAGAACAGGATGATGAGCATGATGTAGGGGTATGTGGCAGAGAAGTAGACCACCTAAGAGCAAAGGAGCCTAGGGTTGCATCTGCTCTGCAGAACCTTATCTGTTCCTCCTTCAGGAGCCTCCGGTTCCCTAGCCTGCTAGGCGTGCCTACCTTTCTGAAGCCCCTCCATGGAGTCTCCACCACTGGCTCAGGGCCCATTAACCCAATGCTGTCTTCTGTCCTTCCTCTCTCCATCCTTCTCCTCCCAGGCTTAGGAGGCTAATGCCTCTCTGTGGGCAGGCAAGGAGGAAGACACACCCTTCTCCTCCCCAGCCTCCATCCTCTGTTAGAGGCTTGGAATTCTCTGTGACGCTCAGGGCTGGCTTCATACTCACAGTGATCCTCCTGCCTCATCCTTCTGAGTGTTTGGGTTACAGGAGTGAGCTGTTGTTGTTTGTTTGTTTTTGTTTTTATTTGAGACAAGGTCTCATGTAGTCCTGTCTGGCCTGGAATTTATACAGCCACCCACCTCTGCCTCTGGAGTGCTGAGATTAGAGATGTGCTGTGTGCTACCATACTCAGCCCCACCTCTATTTTTTTTTTATTTCTACATTATCCAAGTAACACATATGATAACAAGGAAAGTTAAAAGTCCATGTGGACATGCACAAAAGGTTCTGTAGACAGCTCCTAGTAGATATGTGAAGGACAGGCCACACAGGGCTGACATCTCTGCTCTCGCAATGCTTGTAGCCATCTGTGACACCCAGTGGACTCTATAGATAGATGATGTCTGACAACCATGCAGTGTTTCAGTTTTTCACTTTTTCTGTGTGACTGACCACATGTTCTTATAAAAAGGGCTCAAATGACCGAGTCACCTTGTTGATGTATGTGAAGTTAATCACACAGGCCAGGTTCATTCCTGCTCAGTTCCTAAATGCTTCCTTACTCTCTCAGGAGGAAAATGATCTTTAATTACAGAAGGCCCTTTGGGCAGTGCCAGCTCCCCCTATGGTTTTCCAGCTATACAGAGATCTAAACGCAACACTGAACCCGTGTGTATACAATTTTTTTTTTCCTGAAAAAGACTTATTTCACGCTTGGGAAAACTTCTAGCATACAATTACTGAATCTAATGCCATCAACTTTTCCTAGTTTGTGACTTACATTGCTTAAGAACCCTCTGGAAATGGAGCTGCTGCTGGCAAGGCACTGTGGCCTCTGCTGAGCAGAGCTGTCAGAAACTGGTCTGTGCACTGAGCTTCTTTTTGATCTTGGCTGCCCCCCAAGCTTGATATGATCCCCACATTGGGGGGTGAGTATGTTATTGTTATCCCTCTTATTGGGCTCTCAGATCCCTCAGTATTAAGAAAAGCAGTCACAAACCATGAAAAAAACAACTTAAAAAAGAGCACTCAGTCATCAGTAGGACCCGCAGGCTGCGTAACTTTGGGTAATTTTTTTACCTTCTTTGAGCCTTGTTTTTGCTTGTATAGCAAATGGGTATTATTTTCAACCAGGATGAGCAAAGAGGCTGGATGTATGAGGTCACAGGCCATGCCTAATACATCTCCAGTCTACACTTCCCTATTCTCCATGCTCAGCAGGAGACCTAGCAGAGTAGGTGTTCAATAGAAACTTGTTGAAGGACAGGCAGATGGGCCAGCATCCCTAAATGATACGGTGAGGGAGGCCCCCACTCTATGTCCTTGATAAGTAACCAGAATTCTGGGCACCCACCACCACCAATGGTTATAAATGGTATTAAACACCGAGTTTCCATGTAGAGGGCATTGGCCTGCATTCTGCATAGATTGCTTCTCAGCCCCTAACGGATGGGGGGATTGAAGCTCAGAGGGGGCCTTGTGACTTGTCCAAGTACAAATGGCTATTCCCTGGGGTGCTGAGGTTCAAATATCCTCAGAAGCCCTAAATAAAGCCCCCACTCTTCTGCTTCCTGCAGTGAGCTTGGAAGGGCCCGATACTTGCCCTAGTCATGGAGACAGATGGGAGGTCCCCTGACTCCAGCACAGGATCTGAGGACGAGCCTACTAGACTGTACCACAGGTTTCCTTCAGACCAGAGTCTTGAGGAAGTCAAATAACTCTGTCCCCAAACTCTTCAACAGAACTTAAGGCCAGCTGCCCTCCCGAGTCAGTGCCCAGATGGGTCCAGCCAGATGTCCCAGTTTGGTTTCCATTTGCACTGTGTAAGTAAGATGGGAATGGCATGTCCCCTCTATAATACTATGGCAATGAAACACTGGGTATGTCTACTGCACAGGAGAAAAATGAGTTTTGGGGAGACAGGGTGATATGCCCATGGTCACAGAGCCGACTAGTTATCATACAGGGATCTGAACTTGGGGATGTGTGCCTGTAGCCATCTACCCCTTCATCCACGGATCAGAACACAGGGCAGCACAGAATAAGTGCCAGGAGAAGCTGCTTCAGCAACCCTGGAACAACACCCACCATCTGATGTCTTCATCAAGCCAGTGGCGTGTGTGACCCTGTCACTGGCTTCTCTCATTTCACAAGACTGAATCCAGGCACAGAGACTTGAAAGGGCCTTAAGTTAGATGCAGCTTGTAGGAGTCATGGGCCTGGCCCAGGACACACCTCCTCCTATAGAACCGAACCCTCTCCTGTGTGGACCCATTGGGCACACACTTCCCTACCTTTCCAGTCCAACCAACACCCTTCCAGATGCAGAAATACACAAGCACCCAGGCAATGGCCAGCGTGATGGCTAGCGGCCAGCGGATCTGTCCTGGCTTGTCCAGTCCGTCTGTCATCTGGTGCATGTTGCGCCTGAGGATAAAGGAGGAAAGGGTTACACGGGCCAGTGGGAGGTGAGTGACCAGGGCTCCGACACAGACCATACCTTCCCCAGGGGTTCTAGTGACGTCATGACCTTGTAGTTTGGACAGGGACCTTGGGATCATGACAGTCACCCTGGAGATTATACAGCAGGAGCTGGTATCAACTGTAACACCTGAGCTACTGCACAGCCTCCTCTACTGTGCTCTACCCAGCCCCATGGTATCCTCCTAAGTCCCAGGTAGGACCACATGGTCACTCTCCTGCCTGAGACCTCTTACTGCACAGGATCCTCTTGTCTGAATCTGGAGGATAGATGACTAAGACCTCCCAAGCCCCAGAACTTGCGCTTGCTTCTAGCACAGCCCCTCACCTGGTCCCTCTGTAACCCCTCTCCTCACTGAGCCTGCACACACACTCCTTCTCTTGTCCCACTAAGTCTCCTGCATGTCATAGCAAGCAGGCTGGTTCAGGCCATCTCCCCTGCCTCATCTGAGGCTGCCAATGCCTGTTGGCATGCTCAGGTCTCTATCCTGGCACACAACAGGTGTTCAAGAAACATTCAGGGATGAATGGCTGAAAGACGAAAGAGAAGCCACATTACCTGCTGCCACCCAGCTGGCACACCCTCCCCGGCCCTGTGCCCAGTCCCCACTCACTCCCAGAACTCCACCACAGCGCTGGTCATGTTGGTGGTATTGACTAGGCTATAGTTGGAGAAGCAGCGATCAGTGTTCCAGGGGTTGTCACACTGTTTCCACGGCAGGGTCTGTAAGACATAGACAGATCCCACTAAGCCCCTGCCCACCCTCATCACCATTTCCTACATCTCCTTCCCAATGGCTCTCAGGACAAGATCACAACACCCATATCTGAACTCCTACCCTCCCCCACCACCAAGAACCAGCTCCCAAGTTACACAGTGCCCTCATGGGTGACTGCAGCAGACAGGCTCTTCATACATGACTTAAGGGGCGAGTTTCACTTTTTGTTTCCTTCCACCATGTAAAATTCACCACTGTCCCTTGTGTAGCCCAGCAGCATGAAACACACACACTTTCTAGAAATGCTGTCTCCTTTACTCACTAACTCCCCACCTTTCTGGCTCCCCCATGGTGCCTTCTAACTTTTGGAGTCTGACCTCTTCAAGGACCACATGCCGGTAGAATCACCCAACATCTGTTCTCTGTGACAGTCTTATGGTCAGTCTCATGCCCACAGTACATGGGTCAGAGTTTCTTCCTTCGTTAAGACCGGGTAATATTCAACTGCATACATGCAATTCAGTCACACACGTCCCCTGGGGACCCTGGGTTACTTGTGAATGTTGATTCTTACAAACACGATGCTGTGAACACACGGCATAGATCCCCGTGTTCCTGAGACCCTACTTTCTGTTCTTTGGACTCAGGAACAGAATTGCTGGGTCATGACCATAGATGACAGCAGAGGTCTCAGAGGAGTTGAGCTCATTTCTGAACTTGCACAGTTGGTAGATTATAGAGTCAGCATTGAAACTCATGCCATTCTGAGTCCATACAAAGGGGGTTAATGAACTCAATTGTGGGATGCCAGAAGTGCTAGACTGAGGTTCTCAGGACAGCTGGCCAGGGACGATACTATAGGAGACAAGCTATGCACCTCATTCAAGGACTGACCCAGGGAGCACACTGGGGATCCCACAGCCCACGTAGGCCCTGGCCAGCAGCAGCTCACCGTGGTGAAGGAGTTGTACAGGTAATAGATGGCCCAGGAGATGATAACAATGTAGTAGATGTTCAGCCAGAAGGACAGCACAGCCGCAGCAAGGCCCACACCTGGGGCGGGACATACACAGGGCATGCTCAGATATGGATCCAAGGCTGCTTCTTCTCTGAGGACCTTGAGTGAGGCCCCTCCACATGCCCAACATCCCCCCCACACACACACACTCACCCTTGAACATGGGAGCCAGCTTCCACACTCCCAGGCCCCCAATGGAGGTGTACTGGCCTAGCGAGCACTCCAGAAGGAAGAGAGGAACACCCGCAAAGATGAGCGTCAGGAAATACGGGATCAGGAAGGCCCCTAGAGGAGAGATGCACTTGTGGCCCTGAGTCTACCCAGCAGCTTTGGCTCCTACCCACACTTCCTATATGTCCCTCTGGGAAAGTATTACCCAGGGCTAGGGTGCAGGCCCAAAGGCATCCTTCCTTCAAAATGCACCACAGCTCTTACAAGAGACAGAAGCTTCTGATATCACTGCCACAGACAACTGTCACTGGGAACTCTCAATAAAAGGACAAGAGGCAGCAAATAGGACCTGTTCCCAGACCCTCCCTTCCCTTAAGCCAGACCCAGAAGACGCAAAGACCTGGCCTGAGGTCACCAGGTGGCCACCTACCACCACCATTTTTCCCGCAGAGGTAAGGGAATCTCCACACATTGCCCAGGCCAATGGCATAGCCCACACAGGACATGAGGAAGTCGAAGCGGCCCTTCCATGTGTCCCGGTCAGGGAGGTCCCCGGCCTTCTTCTGCACCTTGACCACCAAGGTTTTGGGCTTGTCGCTGGCTACAGGGGCCTCGCTGACCTCAGTAGAGATCTGCCCATCGGCCACCTTGCTGTTATCAGTAGCCATGTCTCGGAGCACAAACTTGGCAGCAGGGTTCCTGATGGGTGGGCGGGTGATGTCAGCTCCAGTCCACGTGGACAGCAGCTTTGCGGCCTAGGGTCATTGTAGGAGGACAGAGTAAGTAACAGACAAGGGGAAGGGCGACCCTGAAGGTCATTTGAGTTCTAATAACCCACTTTACCGCTTGGGGGCTGTTCGATTATAGCTAAGTGCTTCAGTCTCCCTGTGCTGGGCTCTAGCTTTTGAAGCTAGGACAGCTACACATCTCTCATTTGGCTGTTGAGAGGAAAAGCAAAAGAAGGCACGTTTGGTGGGATACTTAGAAGGCTGAGGATGGAGGGTCATGATGAGGGCAGCCTGGGATATACAGTGCATCTCAGAAAAGCAAACAGAAAATAAAATACTTTTATGTTTGCACAACAACTCTGTTCTCACTGAGGAACAGCCATGGCTTATACCTGATATTGGTCACTCAAGATGTTCTCCTGACACTCTAGTTAAAGAGACAGCATGGGTATAAAATTACCCTCAGATCTGTCCTGCGTTTAGCTCTGGCTTTTACCAACTGAGTACTAGTATTAATGCTCCAGCTGATTCTGGTGTGTGTGTGTGTGTGTGTGTGTGTGTGTGTGTGTGTGTGTGTGTGTAAGAGAGAGAAGAGAGAGAGTACACACAGGTACACATGTGTATGTATGTGTATGTATGTGTGTGCATACATGGGACAGAGGTGACATTCCTCAGCAGCTGTCCATTACTTCTCAGACAGTGTCTCTTGCTAGCCTGGAACTCATAGAGTAGGCTAGGCTGGCTGGCCAAAATGTCTCTGCCTCCTCAGTGCTGGGATTACATACAAGTGTGTACCCCCACACCTGGCTGAGTATGGGAAACACAAGCATCTCTGAGAACACACATAGAGTCCAAGGGAGGCTGATGGGAGTCCTGGCCATGCCCAGTCCTATTTCCTTGAGTAAGTTCCAGCAAATCTTTTCTCTCCACCCTCGTAGTTCTGGGGTTACAGGCCCATGTGGCCATGCCTATCCTTTTCCAACTATGCTAGGGTTTGTACTCAGGGCCTCATGCTGGTTCTGAGTTCAAATACTTTACTGACTGAGCCATCCCTATGATTACACTGAACTTTAGTTTCTCCATCTCCTCTCACTGGCAGGGTGCCCCACACAATTGCTCATCTTACCTGATGGTCTCTGCAGTGGGTCCTCTCCTAAACGCTCCCTCCGCAGAGCCTGCAGAACAGAGAGGGGAGACAGGCAGGGAGGTGAGTGGGCAGGCTAGACCAAAACATGCCTGGCTGTTGGCAGGGAGTAACAGGCAGGGGAAGCAGCTGAGACGCAGGCTGTGCACGTGACTGCAGAGCATCCCCAGCCAGGGTGACTGCAGTGAGTCCATGCAGCATAGAACTGGCCCACAGATGCGCAAACATGCAGGGTGGGCTGTGTTAGGACAGCTGTGGCGATAGGCAGGGTGTTCCATAATTTTATGGGGGAGGAACCAGGGTGGGACAATGCTCAGGGCCTGCTGGGAGTCAGGAACTGGGCTGATATTTTCTTTTCTTTTCTTTTCTTTTTTTAATATACAGAATTAAAGTTTATTCTAGCTGATATTTTTCTCCATCCTCCATATAAACTTGCAGAAATGTTATTTAAAAAAAAAAAAGTGATATCAGAGCACAGGAAAGCACCTTACATTTTTTAGTGTAAGGAAGGTGGAGGTTGGAAAACTCTTCTTCAAGTGATCCTACTTAAGGTTCTGCCCCCTAAGCATGTCAACAGACATTTGTTTTCTTCTTTGTGTGCTAACATTTTTTTCCTAGAACATTCTATAGAAGCTGTTTAGTAAGATAATAAAACTAAACTTATGGAACCCTCAGAACAAACTGGAGCACAGGAGGGAAGTACTTCTCCATGGCTCCCACATAGGAGATGAGCAAAAGCCACAGGTAGCATGGGCTTTGTGCCTAGGACTTGCCCCAGATGCCCTTTGTGCAGTGCATGGCCTTCAGCCCCTTGCATGCAACCTGTTACCCAGCACCACTGTGTCCTCCTCATGGGAATACTTCACAACCACCCCTGCTTCTCCTCAAGGCGGCCCACTCAGTTTGAGACTCCTGCACAGTGATAGGCTTGTCCTGAGTGTCTATCTCCGTTCTTGCCGGGCCTGGCCACATCAGGGAGAGCTGTGACTTCAGGCAGAGGCAGCCTGTACTTTCCAGGATGGAGAGAGCAGGAGGTGGAAGATGAGGTCTGCTTCAGCATCAAGACATGCAGCTGACTTAGGCAAGACAGACAAATGGGTCACTTATTTTGTGACGTCAGTTGCCCCACTGTATATCCCAGTAGGCTCCAGCTACCATATTTATTCAGAATGACTCAGTCACCTCAGGCAAGGTCTGACCATGAGACCCAAGCTAGCCAATCAGATTCATTCCCTGGGATCTTGGTGTGAAGAGAGACTTGGGACTCTGAGGCATCATGGGCTGCCCACCCTGTACTTAAGTGTGGCAGAGAGGGCAGGCTACTGAGGAGGAAGAGGATATCTTGCTCATAGTTTCCTTTATCCCAGCTACTCTGCTCCGGGATGCCACAGTGTCCCTATAGGGCACACTTCAGAGGTGGTCAGGTTGATTGTGAATCTCGGCTCCCACCAATGGCATTGCCGCCAGAGTAGTTGTTATAAAAGTGAACTCCACCTTCTCGGTCACTCCCCGGCTTGTCTTGGGAAGATTCAACAAGAAGGCCCTTCTGACTCTCAGCTTCCAGAACCATAAGTCTCCAGGTTGTTGTCATTATCCAACACTGGCTTGTGGCATTCAGTGACAGCAGCACTGATAGGCAAGGATGGTTCTCATGGTCACATGTGCTCTAAGACTCCTTGGCCCCTTGGGTCCTCAGGAAAGGCAGTCCACAAGTCCTCAAGTCCAACCCAGGGGTCCCAGGCAGGGCTACTTGGAAGAGCTGCCCTTGAGGGAGCCAGGCTACCATTTCTGTTTTCCGGAAATATATTATCTGGATTCATCCAAACACCTGCAGCATCCAAGAAAGAGCTGCAGGGCCAAGAGCTGTGATTTCGTGTCTATGTCTGAACATAAACAAACAAGGCTGGTGTGATGGAACTGGTGCCAGGGGAAGGATTCAGGACGCAGAGACTGACTTGCCTGGTACAGAAGTCACCTTATTGCTGAGTCTGACCTTGGCTCCCTCCAGCACCTGCTTGCACAGGGTGAGCTGCCTCACCCCTCTGACCCCTACTGGCATAAACGGGGGGGGGGCATGAGAACAGCAAGGCCAGGAGTCACATTCACCACGGGGACTGGCGATTTGCACCCAGCATCCCCCCTGCATCAGCGTGGGGATATACCAGCAGGGCTAACATTGAGATGGAGGGCGGGGCACTCTGAGACTCAGGTCTCTCAGAGTCTCAGCATCTCAGGAGCCCAGCTATTCCTCTGTCATCCTAGCAGGGAACACCAGCTGTAAACATGTGAGTCTCTTTGTTGAGGGTCTTTACCTCAGCCCAAGAGAAAGCGGTCCAGCTCATCCCTGTCAGAGGCTGAGAGGGAGCTGCACTGGAGTAATGAACATAAGGACTGGTAGAAAGAAATACAATACTGAGAGGATGGAGTTGATGAAAGAGACCAGAAGGGTGGTGAGTGTCTCAGTGATGGCCCAACCCTCTTCAGGGTGATTCTGTGGCCAAGTCCTAAAGCCACTTAAAAAAACACAGCTAAGCATAAAGAGCTCTGTGGGTCCCTCAACCAGAGACACTTTGAAGGAAGGAGTGAGGAGTCAGAAGCCCTAGATCAGATGTGGTAAATGGGTCAGAAGCAACCCTTGGGCTTGTTTTATTTGGCCACAGCAACAACAAAATTCAGTTTGAATTATTAGTTTGAAATGTGACACTCTGGGACACAGTATTTAAAGCAGTACAGAGACCCCAAGGCTGGAAGAGCCCTTGGTGTTAGCAGAAGAGAGGCCGAGAAAGCAACGGATCAAGGTGGGGGGTGGTGACAGGGGTCACATCGCACAAGGTCTCAAAGGCCAGTTAAAATTATTATTATTTTTTGTATCATAAGTGTGTAGGGCTCTCAGTCTGAGAGTCCGAGAGAGACAAGAGAGACATGGGGACTTGGTCTCGGCCACTGGGGCACTAGGGCTCCATCCTGAAGCAGGGCCTGCTGGTAGGCCAGTGTTGAACCAGTAACCAGCTGTGAAAGAGGGACACCCGAGGGACAATCTCCCTCTGTCTCATGGCTTCAGAGGGCCTGGTGTGGGTGGAAGTAGGCAGAAGCCTGGAAGCCAGGGCCTAAGAATCAGGGGTGCCATTGTCCCAGCACATGAATTGTGGTCGGAGGAGGCAGAGCAATGGTTTGGCCTGAATACTGCTCCTGCTTGCCTCTCTCCTTGCTTGCCCTTCCTTTCTTCCCTTTCTCCCTTCCCTCAGCCCTCCTTCTCCCTCCCTGGCTGGGCCCCCTGCTGCTTCATCTTGCTCCCTCCCTTCTGCTCAGTAATTACTGGGATGGCAGAGGCTGGCAGCAGCTGTAAGAGTCCCACTTGCTTCTACCTCTTTCAGAGCTGTGATGGTTCAAGAAAGAAATTAATATTGGGCTTGGCTTCATGCCAAGAGGAAACAGTGCATGTTATTATCTGATTGAGAGAGAAATGCTAAGCCCACCCTTGGGACACCAGAAGCGCTGCATATATTGGGCACCTACTGTACTCTAGGCATGTCACAGGAGTTCTAGTACCCAGAATTATTGTGACTACATAAACTGGGTTACTATACTTCCCAGGTAGAGAGGGAAAACTGAGGTCTCTCAGGCTAGGGCTGCAGTCTGGGGGTCTCAGAGGACTTTGCAGGTCCAGCCTTGCTATGCACAGTGCAGTTCTGCTAACAGCAGTCCACTGGGGCTCGGTAGAATCACACAGGTATGCTGGGCCTTGAAGTTGTGAGCTAGGGACCCCAAATATTGTGGGGCTGGCTTCCCTTCTGATCTCTTCAGGGTGTTTAGTTGAGATATTTTGGCTTGGGCTGGTCTTGGCCTTGGAGAATGTGGTGAGAATTGAAGCCAGGACACACAGGATATATCAGTAAGGGGCAGTTCCAGCTGCCACACAAAGAGATGATCAGTCACATACACTCTGTCATAGAGAGCAACCAGCATTGACAGCAAGCCCAGGGGAGAGAGGCCAAAGGAAAGTGAGGGCCTGGAAGTCCATGGGCATTCATGGAAAAAGGGCTGCTTTGGGCAAGATTGATGGGTGTGTCCCGCAGGACCTCTAGAACAGACCTCATTCTTGGACCCTCGGCTGACATGTAAAGGGACCAAACTCCCTCCCTGGTTCAGCTGGCACTATACCAGACTTATATGTCTGCATAAAGGCCAAAGAAGGCTGCCATGAGCTCAGAGTCACACAGCATAAGAGTGAGTAACTTTATCTTTCTCGTCTTTGAACTCACCCCACACTCACTCAAGACTTTGCAAACCTCTTGACCATCTCAACCTACCTTGAGGTCAGCAGCAGCCCTAGTACTGGGTGCTAGGCTTTCCCAGCACCCCACTGGGGTGTTCCAGTAAGTTACTTCTTTCCTGTGAGTTCAAGAGCAACCCTTCATGCAGTGTTGTAGTTTCCAGCTTTATGTCCGACACAGGCAAGAGTAAGATACACCAAGGTTACATGATCAATAGTCCTGTCTTGCAGGCATGATGGCATATTTCTAAGAGGTCAAGTGATTTCCCCCAGATCTCCCAGAGCTTAACCTGGACCCTGGAGTCAGGGCCCTAATTTGTGCATCCTGGACTCAAGCCTGGGTAAATTCTCTGTAGGTTCCCTGGTCCCAGAGTACAACCCAGTTGGTATGGCTGCAGTGGGACAGCTGGGGATGCTAGGAGATGAAGTTGCCCAAGCAAGAGGAAGAGGAGCCTGAGGCTCTGGCACTTCCAGGGAGAAGGTAGCTGAAGGTACTCAATACCCTGGCTGAGAATAACATCAAATGTACAACCAGCTGTGGCTGTACTGAATAACTATTACCAATTAACAACAATCCCATTTCACAGAAGAATAAACTGAGGTACCGAGAGGCAAAGTGACTAGTCAAGGTCTCCTAGCCAGAATCTGGGTGTCAAGATTTGAATGAGAGATAATGTGACAGTCTGGCCAGCACCCCTCATTAGACTGTGAGATCTAGGCTCTAATAAGAATATTTTCTCCTGGAGACCCTGGCTCTAGGCTCACGACCTTGCCAGGCACAGGGAGGAGCACTGAGCTTACACCTCACTAGCTGTGTAGCCTCAAGCCAACACCTTGCCCTCTGTGCCTTGGTTTCCTTCTGT